AGGAATGAATGAGACTTCCCTGTATATTTCTGTGCAACTGCCTGTGAATCCATAAATAAAAGTGGTAGGGTTTTTTTGAGTTACTCTTTAAAAAAAAAATGTGACTGTGACTTCTCTCTTGCCCCAGCCCCCCACCCCCACCCCTTGTTCTGAGGGAAGGCAGCTGCCATGTTGGTAGCTGCCTTATGAGGGATGTAAGTAACAGAACTGAGGGGACCTCCAGCAAACAGCCAGTGAGGAATTGAGGCCCTCAGTCCAACAACCCTCAAGGAAGTAAATCCTGCAAACAAGGTATGTGGACTAGGAATCAGATTGTCCCCCAATAAAGTATTCAGATAAGTTGACTTTGGCCAGCTGCCAGATTTCTGACCCACAGAAACTGTAAGAAAATAAGTTTGTCATGTTAAGGTGCTAAGTTTTGGGATAATGTGTTATGCAAAAATAGCTAATATAACAACCTTTTAAAAAATAATTTAAAAATACATTTATTTAGTGTTTCCATTTGTTTCTGTTGTTACAGAAGGCCTTAAATAAATACATTTTCCAAGTCACTCAAATACACACCTACTTGTTATACAGATGAGGTAGAGAAATTAAGGTAGGCAAAATTTTCTTAAATAAAACCCCAATAGTATGAATAACAAAAGGAAAAAGTGATAGATTGGCTTCATCAAAATTAAAAATTTCTGTTCTTCAAAAGATACCATCATGGGTGGGGGGAGGCAAGCTGCAAAATGGGAGAAAATATTCACAATACATGTAATCGTTAAAGGACCTGCACCTAGAATAAAGAACTCTTAAAACTCAGTGAGACAATCAGTCCATTAAAACGTGAGCAAAAGATTTAAACAGACATTTCAAAAAAGATGTGCAAACAAACTCAAAAGAAGAATAACTAAAATAAGAAAGATCGGCAGTACCATGTAATGGCAAGGACATGGAACAACTAGAATTCTTACACATTGTTGGTGGGGATGTAAAATGGTACAACCTCTCTGGAAAACAATTTGGCGTTTTCTTAAGAAATTAAACATTTACTTACCGTAAAAGTCAGCAATCCTACTCCTGGAAATTTATACAAGAGAAATGAAACATTCAAAGCAGCTTTATTTGTGATACCCCAAAACTAGAATGTCCACCAGATAAATGGATAAACAAATTGTGGTATATCCCTAGAACGGAACATTACTCAGCAATAAAAAGAAATTAATTACTAATACATGCTATAACATCAATAAACATTTAAAAATTATACTGACCAAAAGAAGCCAGACACAAAACAGTACATACAATATGATTCTGCTTATATGAAACCCTAGAAAATACAAACAAATGCTATAATGACAAAAATCAGGTCAGTAGGGCTAGGGGTGGGGAGACCTGACTGCAGAGGGGCCCTAGGAAACTTTTGGGGGTGATGTGTTCTATTGTGGAGGTGATTATAAGTATGTATAATGTCAAAATTCATTAAAATATATACTTAAAATGGGTGCATATCATTGCATCAAGTTATACATCCATAAAACGTTAGATTAAAAAAAGTTATTAGGCATGTATCAAATAAGTTGAAAACTTAAAACGTCCAGACTACTTTGTTTCCGAACATGAAAGTGATAAGACTACGATCATTATATTGAAAACCTACCAGGCAGTTGTAACAACATAGAAATCTTGGATTTTCTTTCTCTTCCCCCGGATCCTCATTCCAATACTGGTCAAATATTTAAAGAGTAAACACAATGCGCAAGTCACATAGAAAGAAAATACTGTACATAAATTTAATGAATGAAAATTATTTATTTAATTTCCAGCTTGAAGCTGTATCTTTACAACAATGTAGCTGGTAAGTACTTACTTAAAATTCTAATTCTAATGGGAAAGATGTTGACTAAGTCAGACACTGCAACTCCAAACTCTGGAAATTTTCCTGCTCTTGTACTGATGACTCCCCTATGTAGGATTGCATCATTCATTCATACTGTTGGGTAACAGGCACCAGTGGGCTAAAACAAGTATATATCATTCAAATGTAAACGGATGAAAAGAAAGCCTTGAAATCCCATGAAATATTTTACCTATCCCGATTAAAAAAAATAAATGTTGAATCACAGAGGCCCTGGGTGTAGAAAGGCAGGTCGGTCAATCAGAAAGTTGGGCAAACGGAGAGATCGACACAAGCCTGGACTTACCCCGGCGCTGCAGCTCCTTCCTGGGCCGCCGCCACCGCCTCCAGGGCTCTCACGGCTGTAACCTTCCGACTGCAAGGGGCCGAGCGAGGGCTGGCTCGGACGTTCAGTAGCGGAGTTCCGAGGGAGGTGACCTGTGCAGAAGGCAGAGCCTTTACCAAGCAATCATATGAGATCTGCTGGTAAGTGCGGCGGCTTCTGGCCGGTTTTGCATATACTTAACTAAACCGGAGACTGCAGACCTCCGCTCTGCAGAGCCGGGCTGGGAAGAAGCCCTTGGCCCCGCCCCCGAGGGAGGGACTCCCTGAGCCCGCCCCCTCCTCCTTCGGGGGCTCCGTGCTTGCGGACCTAGACTTGCATTCAGCCCTGGACGCTTTCCTGCAAAGCCTCGGGCCACGACACCCCCACTTCGCGGAGGAAGAAGGAAAGAGCTCGCGACCTTTTGCAGTGCTCTCCACCGCCACCACCACTTGGGATAAGGATACGTTAGGAAGGCAAGGGACCTCCGCACTGATTTTGCAATTAACGAAAGTCCCTTAGGGGCCTTTTTTGAAATCCTCGTTCGGCATTATGCTCTTGTAGGAATGAAGGTCCCAAGAGAACTTCAAAAATTATTTATATGTGCAACTAAAATGCAAAAAAAAGAGTGACAAAATGAGTCTTTGAATGCTTTTTTTTTTTGTCATCTTATCTTCTTCTAGGTGTCACTTGCCCAGCTACTTTTATGTTGACTACAATAAATAAGTGGTGATTCCCCCCAAACATTTATCTTTGGGCACAGCTGGCTGGAGCTGGGCAATGAAGTTTTACCCTAAAATACAACCTGAAACCTCAGATGCTGACAGTCATCTCTTTAGTTTCCTCCAAGCTGGTCATTCAGGCAGAGGGGCTGCAATTCCTGGAGCAGAACACTTGGTCACAGCATCCCTGCCCTTTGCTACAAGACCCCTCAATAAACACGACCCTATCCAGAGACAAGAGTCCTGATGCTCTTTGATCAGATGTGCCTTTAAAGTTCAATATTCTCAGATTTCATTAGTAAGAAAATGGCTGCAGGTCTGGGGCACATCAGTTTAATTTCTCCCAAATCTGCCAGAGATGGTTCAGAGGAAGGTTGAAAAGGAAGAATTTTGATGTTTTGAAATATGAGGTAAAAGATTATACAATTAATGGAGGAAGGCAAAATAAGGGGGTCTAAAATAACAATCAAGGACTTGTTTATATTTTGTGGTAATTTAGAAATGTCTAATAAAGGAAACACGATGTTAAACATCAAATTTACCTCAACAGAAAAAGAAACCCAAATACAATAAATGTGAAAAGTAGAAGAGTTCATTTTTACTCTTATTCATATCTCATAGATATTTACTGTTAAACAGATTTCAGATAAAACATTTATACTGAATAAAATCTGTCCCTGTACTCACCTCACATTCACATCTGTATTAACATTTGTGGGCACGAGGGGGCACTGTAGTAGACATTGTTTAGCTAGAGCACATTCCACTAAAAAAAAAAAAAAAAGTTATCCAAAGAAAGTTAACGGGTGGTCACAATCAGGAAGTAATTTTGCCATACAAGGCAAAACTAGATAAACAAATTATGCTTCATGGTTGTTCTTCTGGAATAATGTTCAATAACATGTGAACCAAATACAGTACAGTATAATGAAGAGATAATTAAAAAGTGTGAAAGAAGTGAAAACATGTGAAAAGATACCTATGTGCTTTTTGAGGAGAGTTTAGAAACTCATTATGGGCAGTGAATATTAAATAACTATATTAAATAACTAAAAAAATTAGCAAATTTTATTTTACAAAGTTTTAATCAGAATTGGTTAGTAGAAATATAGGTAATACTAGTGTTCCTGAAAGGTTTTTTCTGTTTTGTCTCTTTTTTTTAACCAGTCTTTTTTTGGGGGAGAGGGTGGTAATTAGGTTTTTATTTAATTTATTTAGTTTTTAATGGAGGTACTGGGGATGGAACCCAGGACCTCATGCATGCTAAGCATGCACTCTATCACTGAGCTATACCCTCCCCCTGAAAGGTTTTCTACAGATTACATTTTTATAAGCTAACAAATTTTCTAATGATTAACTATGTTAGAATCAAGTATAGTTTTTTTAAAGTAATTCAGGGCTAATACAATAGCCTTCTAAAATACAGCACATTGGAATACTTTAGAAAACAGCATGGTATTATTCAGTAGCACTGAACTTGCACATTTTCTATGACCCAGCAATGCTGCTTCAAGAATGCACTTGGAAGAAACTTGTACATGAATACCAGGAGTCACATATAAGAATGTTAGTTACCTCTGGGGGACAGGAAAGGAAATCAGACTGGGAAGAGATTATATAGTTAGTTCTTTAATGGTATTGATAATGATAATGCCCTTAAACTAAGGGAAGTGGGCCTACAGATATTTTTGTATCTGTATATATAAAATATTTTATAATACATGTAATATTTTTATGTCAATACATTAAATACCAATATATTAAAGTATCATAAATGTTTTTAAAGAATATAAAGAAAAATGCAATTTAATATAAACACTGACATTCAAAATAAGTCACAGCTGGAAATATGTCCACGACATGTCATGTGAATAAAGCAGGTTGCAGAACATTATATATAGCTTAATTCCCATTTCTGAGCAAAGAAAACTCTTTACATCTATAAACATGTGCAGTATATGGTTGTATACCTATGTCTACACACAGTAGTTAATCCTAAGGAGTAAAAAGAAAGAGAATTTACCCTTCTACTTTGATTTCATATTGGTTGAAATTAGGTTAAAATTGTATTACTTTTGCCATGATTTACAAATCAATGAAAAACGAACATCTATGGATGGTGGTGGGGAGAGAGAAATAGGTTAAGGTGGCCAAAAGGCACAAACTGCCAGTTATAAAATAAATTATAGGAATGTAACTAAAATGGGAAAAATTCAGGTTTTTTTCTTCCTATATAGGGAAAACCCCAGTTCTTCCCTAGTGTGTCTTCTTTAGTAATCACACGAAACACTTCAGTCTTGATCACCAAATGTGATTTTTTTCCCACATCAAGTAATTCTCTGCAACACCATTTGAGTATTCCATAATTTAACTTAATTCTGACACTATCTTCACAGAGCCTCAGATCCCACAGGTTAAAGGCTCAGTCCCACCAGACTGCCCCCATCACACATGCACACACACACACACTTCAAATGCCAGTCTCAAGGCCAGGTTATCACCTATGTGTCTGATCAACCAACTATAGATCAGAAGTTCCAATGACCACCTTCCTTGGTTTAAATTAATTTGCTAGAGAGACTCACAGAACTCAGGAAAACACTTACATTTACCAGTTTATTAAATAATATGATAAAGGATACAGATGGATAGCTAGACAAAGAGACACATAAGGAAAGGCCTAGGAGGTTTACAAGAGCAGTGAATCCTGTATTTTTGGGATTTTATAGAGGCTTCATCACATAGGCATGATGGATCATTAACTCCATTTTCAGCTCTTCTCCCTTTTCAAGAGAATGTGGGATGAGCTTCTAGTCATGGCTTGGTCTCTCTAGTGACTAGCCCTCATTCAGAGCCATGCAGGAGCCCACCCAGAATCACCTTGTTAGAACAAGACACCGCAAGGGTTTCAGGAGCCCTTGCAATGGGAACGGTGGCCAAAGACCAATATTAGAATGAGAGATGCTCCTAGTGTTCTTATTACTTAACAAATTACATGGGTCCTAGGAGCTCTGTGCCAGGAACCAGAGATAGAGACCAAGATATACTATCTACTACATCACAGTATTGTACAGCATAGCGACTATAATTAATAATACTGTACTGCATATTTGAAAGTTTCTAAGAGAGTAGGTCTTAAAAGTTCTCATCACAAGAAAAAAAATTGTAACTATGCATAGTGACGAATGTTAACTAGACTTATTACGGTGATCATTTCACAGTATATACAAACGCCAAATCATTATGTTGTATACCTGAAAATAATGTTATATGTCAGTATTACAAATTAATAAATAAAAATCTCAAATTAAAAAATGCCTCAGACTGCTAAGTCAAATTAGGTATCAAAAAAAAGTTATCTAAAATTGCTAATTGGTCTGAGCCAATTGTGAAAATCTATTCACCACCATTCCAGCTTCCCTTCAACTTAGGGTGGCCGTGTATTCCTGATTTGACTAGTGAGATTCAGACTGAAACATGCTGAGGAGGTTGCTGGGGAAGCTTCTGCTTTCCCAATATGAGGAGAATAACACTGCTGGCCTAGTTCCCTCTTTTTCCTGCCTTAAATATTAATGAGATAACTGAAGGTATGGCAGTCGTCTTGCAATCATGAAGAAAAACCAAAAGAATGACAGCAACCCACTTATAAAATTAATTGCATCTCTGATCCCAATACCAGAAGCCACCTATGTCTAGATTTGTTTTTTTTTAAGTAAAAATAAACTCCTGTTGGTTTAAGCCAGTGCAGTTGAGCCCTCTATTGTTTGCAGGTAGAAGGCTAAAAAGAAAATTTTTTTAAAAAAAGAACAGAGATTTCAGCTGCTGCTGACCACAGAGTACACAGAGTTTGTCATTTGAATCCTGCTGAAGTAGAGGGGTTTCGTACACATCTTAGGCTTTCCACTAAAACCCCAGAAGGACCACAGCTTAGGGGCAAATACTATGTCCCAGAACAAAGGATTTACTCTAAAATTAAGGGCTAAAGATAGACTTAAGGGACCAAGGCCTCCAGGGTTGGCTTGCTTGCTTGCTTGCTTGCTTGCTTGCTTTTTCCTTTCTTTCTTTCTTTTTTTTTTTTTTTTTTTGAGAGCTCAGAGGGAGGGGACAGTGGGCCAGATGTGGGTGCTGGACTCAGACTAGGAAGATGGACCCAGAGTGGCTGAGTTTCCAGTGTGTCTCCTAGACAATCTCATGAAGTCCTCTCGGGACCCATGGATGACCTAACAAAGTATAACATCAAGACAACAAAAGTACAAGGCAATCAGCCAACATTTTAACTTCCTGATAGAACATATGTGAATATTCTTCAGAGGAAGATAATAGAATCTAAGTTGTTAAAATGTATCATCCAAAATGTCTAATATACAATCAAAAATTAAAAGACTTCCTAAAAACAGGAAAATGTAACCCACAGTAAAGTGGGGAAAAGGCAACCAATAGAAATAGACCCCAAGATAACAAAGATGTTACAATTACCATACAAGACTTTAAAGCAAGGTGGGGAAAGATATAGCACAGTGGTAAAGTGCATACATGAGTCCTCGGTTCGATTCC